AAAAATGTGTTCAAAGGTGGTGCTTTGCAATGGTGATTAGACCGCCGGGTGCTAACCTCCGCCATGGGTTCGGCCACTGATGAGTTCATTGGTCAGCTCTTCGGAGGTGGGGCCTGTCAGGAGGTAGTGAGCCGCGAGGCAGGCGTGACCTGGGTGAGCACGTTCCTGCCCCCCTGCTTTTCTCTCTGCTCGCTCCCTGCCATGGGTTGAGCAGCTGCCCTCTGCCTATCAGCTCTGCCGTACTGTTCCTGCCTCGGCCTCAGTCAGCTGTATATGAACTGAACCTCCTGAAGCCACGAGCCGAGGTAAACCTGTCCTCCCTTAAGTCTCGGGCATCCATGGTTTGTCCCCATGTCTGGAAAGACTAATACAAGAATAGACAAACTTGTATTGGAATGGTTTCTTTCTGCCATGATGAACCAAATGAAAATTGTTTTTCTACATTCAAAAATATTCTAATGGGCTGAGGAAATAGCTCGGTGGTCTAATCGCCTGCCTGGCAAGCGCAAGAACCCCAGCTTGATCCTGGTGCCTCATGCTGTGCCAAGGAGTGCAGACGCGGCCTCTGAAACCAAACATGGAGGTGCATAGCTGTAGTCCCAGTGCTGGGGACACTGAGACAGGAGGATCACTATGAGTCCGAGCTGCATAGCGAGACCCTGTATCAAATAAATAAAGATTTTAAAAAATTCTAACGTCTATCTTTTGTATATGTTGATACAGTGTCAGCCTTTTATGAAAAGAACTACAGTTGGGGATTTTTTAATTGTAGTGAAATATACATAAAATTTATCTCTTGTAAGTATACAGTTTGGGTATATTTTTAAAAATTAAGTATTTTTTTCTTCTTTAGTGCCAAAAGTGTCAATCTTTTATAAAACAATAAAAAATGCTGAGAATTTAGGGTGAGTTACTTGAAAAAATATAAAGTTACAATAATAAGTCCTTCACTTCATTTTGAACTGCTACTGGGTGGAGACATCCACACGTCAAAGACCCACTGGCTTAAAAGAGTTAAAACTTAGAGGCGCAGAGCCTGGCGTGGCGGCACTCGTTCTGCGGTCCCAGCTCTCGGGAGGCTGAGGCAGGATGACTGAGTTCAAGGCCAATGTGGCTTACACAGTAAGTTCAAGGCCAGCCTCAAAAAGAAGAAAAAGAAGGAAGAAAGGAAGGAGGAAGGCAAAAGGGGAAGGGTAGTGGGAGGGAAGAAAATGAGAGCAGAATCCAGCAGTGGAGAGAGGCAGGAACAATGCTGTAAGAGGGGAACACATTTTAGGGGTGCTATGTCACTAAAGCAACATAGTCCTGGAAAGGAGTGTTACGGCTTGGGTCTAGATGTCCCCCACCCACCCAAGCCTCAGCATTTGAGGAGGGCCTTTGTTGGAGAAAGCTCAGTCTAGGGTTTGTGACTGATTAGAGTACAGCGCTGGGATTAAGCGTGAGGGATTGCGGGATCATTGCTGATTGGGCCAGCACCACCCTAATCCCAGCAGCCTGGACAAAGTCAAAGGACAAGAAGAGGCTTGGTTTGCGCTTTGGCTCTTCTCCCTTGTTCCCTTTTCAGTCTTGTACCACCGTGACCTACTGCCCCTCGGCCACACCATTCTGCCTGAAAGCCAGCCAGTGACAGACTGAAACCACCACAAACTGTGAGTTAAATCAATCTTTCTTCCTTTAAAATTTGCATGTCTAGAATTTTGTCCCAGCAAGGAGAGAAAAGTAACTAAGACAAAGAGCAACTAGAATTATACCTTGCTCTGTTTTAAAACGTTTATTGTCGGATCATACTCTGCTCCTAGCAGAATATCAATAAATATTCTAACTGCATTAGAATGCTTGTATCAAAATCAAAAGAGTCAGAAAAAAAAAGAGAGAGAATTTGCTGTGACACACCAAGAGGGGAGCCAATGTGCACTCCAAGGGGAGGGGTGTGGGGAATGATTAGATCGTGGGCGTGCAGCCCTCACGCCTGGACTGGTGCCTTCTGACCTGGGCTGTGAGACTCCTCGTCCCTTCCAGCCTGTGAGGACACAGCTGGAGGCCCACCTATGAGAAAGGAGACTTCCAGAACTTCGAGCGACACCTTTGTGTGGTTTATAAGCTACCCCACTCATGGCATTTTGTTAGAGGACAGAAACAGTTTTAAACTATTAACCAGGCAGTGGAGCAGAGAGCAGACCCCAGACTCAAAGTTAAACTCAGACAGGTAAAGATTCCTCTAGTATACGTGACCGGCATCTGCTGCTGGCTGCTCCCAATTCATTTCTTCTCTTCCGTCCTGTCTCCCTCCTCTTAACACCCTGAAATTTCCCACAATATGCACCAGGGGGAGCTCGCTGAAGCCCAGCCCCCAGGTGAGCTCTGATTGGTCTGAAGCCTTAAATTGCTCAGCATTATGCTTCCCCCAACCCCACAAGGCTGAACACATAATCCAGCCCAAGATTCTGTCTGTATGCGTTTCGTGAAGATTCCTAAGGGAAAGACTCTTGTATTTCTCTCTGCAATTCACTCAGCATGGAAACCCCACCTCCTACCCCCGAGGGCTGTTGGCCAGCTGGGCCCAAGACAGAAAGGAAACCAAGAAGGAGACACAAGGTCCAGGTCCCTGCCTTTGGCCCACACAGGAAGGCACATGTGCAGGATTCCTGTTTCCTGCTCTATGTCCTATTCCTGCTTCCGCCACTTTAGGACTTGTTTTCTGTCACCAGCAATAGCAAGGTTGCCAATGTACAGGTGAAAGTGGTCTGCAGAGGAAGAAGAGGGAGGTGGGCACTGGTGGTGACCCAGCACTTTGGATAAAGTAGCTGCTTAGGGAAAAGAGAAGCAGAGCCAGAGTGCCCAGGGAAGCAGCCAGGAAAGGGGGGCGAGGGGTCAGGCAGAACCAGGAAGAAGGGCCCTAGCCGTGGAAGCCGTGCACTTACCCCTGAAAGAACGGTGCACACCCAAGTGGTTTCGGTCCTGTCCCCAACTCTGGTTAATGGCACTGCCTCCACCCCACCCCCTAGGAATGCCAAAGTCCCCGAAGTCAGCTGGTCAGCAAGGAGAAAGTCAGGACAGGGAAGGGTTGCTTAAGCAGGTTCCCAGGATATAAAGTGAAGTAAAAAATAAAAAAAACCCAGGAGACCAAGAGGCTGTGAAAGGTTTTTAATTGTGAAAGAAAGAGAGGACCTGGGCAGAGACCTGGAGACCAGGCAGACAGCATGAACCAGCAGCTAAGAGCACCCAGGAGTTGCTAAGCCTGAGCTCTGGGTTGGTTCCTGGGACAAAACAGACCCAACTCCTCACCGCCCGCATTACAAGCCGGCCGCCTTCCTCTTTCCAAGCTGCCTTCCGTCTGTACAGGAGCTCTAAGTGCTGCAAGGCTCTCAAAGCATAAGCCAGGATGCCCCTGGCAAACCTTCTGGGGAGTGCGCATTCATTACGGATTATAAGAATAAGACAGATGGCTGCAGCACAGGAGAGGGTGACAGCAAAGCCCTGGCTCACTTGGATCCCGCCTCTCTGGGAGGCAGCCCCGATTATGTGGCTGTACCAAAGCAGTGTGAAGAGAAATTCAAAGAAAGGACCACACTGCTCCTGAAAGAAATGGCAGCCTGCGACCATAGTGTGACGTGAAATGAACCTGACACAAAAAGTACGGCATGATTTCTCTCACAGGAGATGCCCACAGGATAAGAAATTTAAAGAGCTAAAGAAAAGAAGGTAGCAGGAAACAGGGAGATAGAGCTTTGGAAAATGGAAAGTGGATCAGGAGACAAGGGAGAAAAGGAGGAAGAGACCAGGAAGAATGAAGATGCGGTATGTGTCCACAGCCCACTCCTCATGATGAATGCCAATCACCATGTGTTACAGACCGTGCACTAGTGAAAAGTTGAATAAAATAAATGCATCTAAAATTAAAAAAAAAAAAAAAAGCAGGCAAGAAAGTGACTTCTCAGAAATGCCAGAACATTTGCTTGTCTCCTCTGGACTGTACTTGTTCTCCGACAGAGCCGCTTAGCAACTGGACCCACAGCTCAGCAAACTTTTGGGGGAGCGGGGAAGAGTCCTGCAAAGAACAAATCCAGACAACACCAGAGTTCGACTCCACGTGGAGACTGTGTGGCAACTCCTCTTGCAAAATCAGGGGCTCTCGGTGAGTAGTCGGGTGGCAGGTGGCTACAGGTGGGCTGAGCTGGAAGCGACCTTCCCGGGACATCTGTTCATCCTGGAAGCTTTGGCCACAGGAGACCGGAACAGCCAGGTGGGGCCGGACGCAGATCTGAGAAACAAAGAGGTCGGGAGGAGAGGAGAGATGGGGGGGGGGGCACTGGCACCTGACACCTGCTCCTCATAAATGACTTTCACATTTGTAAGGTACACAGTGAAACCAAACACTTCGATGAATGTTTACTTTTTTAAAGCCATTATTACAATAGAACACGTCGAGATGAATCCCACTCGACCTCTTCTCCCTGGCTCTGAACACGCTTAGCCGGTCGTTCTTGGCAACGTGTCTTTTATAGGATTGTGTTTAATGGAAACATCCACCTGGGTTTACCATCGTCCCTCTAGCTTACTGATCACATAAGGCATCTCCTCCAGGCACACTGCGACACAGTAACAGCAGCGCAGCATCGACGTCTTCTTCAATCTTCCCGGCGTCCGCTAGCGGCGCCCATCGTCACCCTTTGACCCACTGGGAAGCCCCAAGAGGCAGAACGCCTTGTGGTCACCTCACAGACCCCACTAAGGAGGGGCGCTGAGGGGCCCAGACTGGTCCGGACGAGGGGGTCGGCACCGACCCTGTAGGGGGTGTAGACTGGCCCAGCCTAGGGGTCTCTACTCAACCCACACTCAGCGCGGGCGCTGGCGGAGACCTCGGGGCCGGTCTAGCTGCCCGCATGGAGGTGTGCACGCTCGGCTGACCCCAGCCCTCCAGCCCGAGCAGGGGCGGGTAGGGAGGCGGGCCGCACGCCCCAGGGGGCGGAGGGGGCGGGCCTTGCGCTCAGCCTTCAGCACCTGCCGGGCCCGCGGCGCAGCCGCTCCCAGCTGCCGTCCGCGCTCGGTCCGCCGCCCGCCCGTCAGCCCTCATGCTGGCCGCCGCCTTCACCGCGCTGGCCGGGCTGCTGCTCGTGCCGCTGCTCGTCGCCTTGTGCTGCCCGTACCTGTTCCAGGACGTGCGCTATTTCCTGCGAGTGGCCGGGCTGGTGCGGCGGTTGCGCAGCTACGGGCGGCGGCGCCCGGTGGCCACGGTGCCGCGCGCCTTCCAGGAGCAGGCGCGGCGCGTCCCGCACAAGATCTTCCTGCGCTACGGCGACCAAGTCCTGACCTACGCGCAGGTGGACCGGCGCAGTAACCAGGTGGCGCGGGCGCTGCACGGCCTCGGCCTGCGGCAGGGCGACTGTGTGGCCCTCTTCATGGGCAACGAGCCGGCCTACGTGTGGCTGTGGCTGGGCCTGGCCAAGCTGGGCTGCCCGATGGCCTGCCTCAACTACAACATCCGTGCCAAGTCCCTGCTGCACTGCTTCCAGTGCTGTGGTGCCAAGGTGCTGCTGGCCTCTCCAGGTGAGCCGGACGCCCCGGTACTGGTACTGTTACGGGTTGGGGGGTTCTTGGGGTCCGGGTACGCAGACGGGGTGGCTTGCAGCACTGATGCGTGATCTGAAGGGTCGCCTATGGGAGCTGCGTGCAGGCACCGCGCTGAGCCCTGTAGCCCTGGCCTGGAACAGGAGGGCGATAAGCTCCTGGACCCCGCAGAGATCCCAGTGTGCCCATCCCCGGGTCACTCGTGTAGAATGGCACAGCTATGGATAGCCTGAGCAAGTGCTACCTACCCTGTACTTTACACCATCTCCCGATGTCTTGTAATAGCTAATACAGTGCAGATGCCGCCTGAGTGACTGCAAGGCTGTATTGTTTAAGGAGCAGGACAAGAAAAAGCCCGGATGCATTGGGTGCCAGTGCCATTTCCTTCCCCTCATATTTCCCCCTCGGGCTGGGTTGAATCCACAGAGGCTGAAACCAGGGCCAGGGAGGACCCTCTGTGTTTGCAGTGTGGCCTTGAATCCCAGCAGGTGGGGATTTCCCTGGGTCTTCTATAGATGAGGCCCCCCCCTGAGGCCCCAGAGCTGAAGCCACCTAGCACCCTTGGGATGGGCATGTCCCAAAAAGACAGAGCTGTCCATCTCCAGGTCTTCACTCTTAGCCAGTCCTCAAATCTGCACTAACGTAAACTTGAGTGTGCACTGGACTGGGGCCAAAGACAGCCCTCACCCCGCAGCCTGACTCACCTGGGACCATGGAAGATGGCATCCTTCTCTGCCTCTTAGTGTCCCTCCTGTCATGAGGCTGTCTTCAAGACAGCGCCAGCCACCCAGGGCTGCTGGCCTTGCTGGCTTCTCACTGCAGAGAGCAGGTGCTCCGCCCCCACACCTAAGGAGAAGACTTCAGGGTCTGCTAAGGGGCCTTTGGGAGACTCCTTTGCCCCTATAGAAACAGTGACCCATTCCTGTGTGTGGTCACCTTCTGCCACATTTCAACCAGACCCAGAAGGGTAACATTGTACTCAAGGGGTCCCAGACCTGAAAGAAACAGAAAGGGTTACCCCAGGGTGGATAGAGTACCCTTGAAATAGCTTGTTTCTGCACTGGAGACCATCCGCTCCCCCAGAGTTTGTCTCTGGACCAAGGGCTGCTTCTCTCGGTCCATGAAAGTGGACCAAGAGTAAGGCCGAGGGAGCCGGGCAGACCCACCTCTTCCGAATGCATTTCTGTGCCAAGCCCTATGCGGATGCTTTATTGCCTGAGAGATGCCTGTCATCACTCTAATAACCCCTTCCCACAACTGAGGAGCCAGAGGTTTAAATTCCACACTAGATCTGTCCAACTTCAAAGCTTATGTTTTCTAGCATCATACTGTCTTCTCTAGGCGAGGTGAGGTCTTAAAGCTTAGAGCAGCATCCATCTGGTTTGCTCTTCATTTTATAGCCGGGGAAACTGAGGCAGGACAAACCATTGGCCTGGTGCACCAGAAAGATGACATGTGGATTCACGTGTGAGAAACCAGGGAGCTTATACCTACCTCTGTGGCATGAAATAAGTAATCCAAAAAACATGTAGCCATTATATAAAAATTTAGAAGCAAATAATGGTTTTAGAGGCAGCCAAATTATTTGAGGGAGATGGTCCTTTCAGGAAAAGTCCCAGAAATTGAGAGTTGTTACCTGGGGAAAAGATAACTGCACCTCTTAGTAAAACTCCTTTAAGCCTATTATTCCACCAGCTTCCTTAGAGGGAAGTTGTAAACACCGTGATCTTTGCACCCCACTCACCCCCAGGCATTTAAACATTATTAACTGTTTACTAATTACAGAAGTAATGACCTTCCAAGGAATTCCTGGGCCTAGGAGCTGAATTGAGAAAAAAGCTCAGAATTAAGTGACTGTAATCAAAACAGGTTCTGTAAGCAAGCACAACTAGAGACAGGTTGAGTATTCCTTATCTGGAAAGCTTCGAACAGAAGTGCTTTGGTTGGATTTCAGGTTTGTTTTAGATTTGGGGCTATTTGGATATAAAACATGGGATATTGGGCATTGGAACCCAAGTCTAACCATAAAATCTGTTTATTTTTATATGCATCTTATACACACAACCTGAAGATCATTGTAAACAATATAGGTAATAGATCCCTGCATGAAACAAGAGATTTGTGTGTGAACTTCATGGGTGGCATCATGTTGACGTTTAAAATGGTTGGATTTTGAAGTGCTTCCAATATATTGATGAGGAATTTGTAAACTGTACTTCTTTCTCTCACCTGGGGACAGTCCTGTCCCCTAAAGCACTGTGTGCACGTGGAGAGTATGACCTTTCTACACTCAAGTCAAACTTGAGCCCAACTTTCCAGGGGGCCTCAAGTGCTTTCTTGCAATTAAGTATCCTCTGAGGAAGGCAGTGCATTTTTAGAATTTTTCTTTAGCTTTTCTGCCTCACTGAGATGCATTTGCCCATGGTGCATAATTACACTGAAACCCAGAGCAGCCTGCTGCAAACAGCACAGAGTCCAAAGTTGCATGCTCAGGAGAAGAACCCATGTGGTAACATACAAACTAACCTTGAAGAGAATTGAGACATTTGAAAAACATTCCCTCTTTCTATATGCCAGAGTTCCCTTTGTACACAGTGCACTTTGACCTGGAATAGTTACTACCAAGAGAGGGCAGAGTCCAAAGTCATGTACTTAGTCAATATGCCCATGCAGAAATGTGCTGAATGGGCCCAAGAAGACTTGGAGTTGAAAGAGAGCTTAGAGCTACTCTAATCCTGGGATCTTATAATTTAAACCAATGGCTCTTGCTTCCGAAAGAGCTTAGAAAAGAAAGTTTGATGAACAGAAAAGGCATCATGATACAAAGCAGATATCCGAATGCTGTCTCCAAATGCTGCTTTCATGGATCTGGCGGGGGACCCCAAGGAGCAGCCCCTCAGCCCCAGGTGAATTCAAAGCTACTGGTCTGAGGGGCAGGCTCTGAGAAGCCACCAGCCTCCGAACAGACCTAAAGGACTGAAAGCAGGGCTGGGTCAGCAGAAGGGAGATGGGCCCAAACCCGGAACTCTTCTCATTCCAGGGCACGTGCTATTCTATCAACTATCTGAACCTGGTTGGTTCATAAAGGTGAACTTGAGCACATGATTCAAATTTCAGCCACAGGTCTTAGGAACTAGTGCATGTGCAGGTGCTGGAATATTTCTAAGTAGAAGACCAACACGTTGACCTTCATCTTTCAGACTGATTCAGTTGTCCTGACTTCCGGAGACTATTTCTGAGGCTTGAAGGGCTCGATCCTGTTAGAAAACAGTACCCACACACTCCTTCCAAATTTACAATACATACAAAAAGTCAAGATTCACAAATTCTTCCCCAAATACAACAGCAACCGTTCTCTCAGAGAATATGGTTTAGTTTTTTCTTTTTCAGATTATATGTCACATATTTAAGTTGTATAAACTTGGTTGGCAGTGAAGCATACAGTTTCTTGTAAGCTGTACAATTCAGGCGACTTCTCCATGGAAGGGAATGACCTAGGTGGACGCACAGTCCCGCTCTCCCCAGTGTTACAGCCCTGAGAGCAGGGCTGCGGTGCATAGAAGTCAATTTATTGGGCCAGGTATTTTTCACACAATTTCTCAAGCACAGAATAGACAAAAAACAGGGAAGCATATTTAATTTCCCACATAAGATTTTCTAAAAACACCCAAATAAGGCTTGAAATAGCGCATCTATTTCCATGTCTGCTTTCTTCAAGGCCATTGCTAAACTAACTCTGCCACCGGGAGGTAACCTGGGTCTCCTGAGCACCTTTCATCTGCCCCGTGACCTGGCTCACGGGGCCCTGTTCGAGGGCCCCACAGTGTGGGCACAAGGAAGGCTTTTGTGAAGGTTAAAGCTACAGTGTTGAAAGAACAACAGCCAGGGAGATTCCAAAAAGCCAGATTAGCTTTTTGGGTTTTGAAAGCTGGAAAAAAAAGAAACAGAGAAAGAAAGAAAAAAACCTGAACTTTCTTTAAATGATGTAATGGAGGGAAATGCTTCCACTTTCAAAAATATTTCATCATTAAAAGTTCTCCAACAGGGCTGGCAAGATAGCTCAGCGGTCTAAAGTGCCTGCTCAGGCAAGCTTAGGCAACTGTAGGGACCTCGGTTTGTTCCCCAGCACCACAGGCTGCACCAGCCCTGCCCCCAGGGCATGCTGAGCAGGCCACTAAATTTAGAAAAAAGTTCTCCAACGGGAGAGCTTTGTTATGAAACTAGTGTTGGGATCAAGGATGACTGCTGTTGGGTGGGCGTGGTGGCTGTTGTCATACAAACTCCCGCAGCTCCAATGGGGAGATATGCACAGAATTAGTTCAAGGAGCTCAGAGTCCAGAAAGGAACTAAGCATGTGTGCAGTCGATGGTGGCCAAGGGAGCAGGGTGGGCGTGCGAGAATGCTGGAGCGCTTCACGGTCACAGCAGTCATGGAACAGGCCCCGTGCGGGACAAAGGCGCTCCAGGCAGGGAGAGGACCGGGCCATCATACACTGACACACTTTCCTTGGTAGCTGAGCTGTGGAAGAACCACAGCAGGATGCACATTAATCGTGACCATTCATTGAATCTGAATACTGAAAGGTCTTGAGTGTAGAGAAACTGGGGACCTGGAGAGGACAGAATGGGCAGAAGCAGTGAGAGATGACTGTCTGACACCTCAGTGCGGGAGCAGAGCTGAGAGAGTCTGATCTCCACTCTTCTCTGCTCTCCGGGCCGCCCACAGCATCAGTGCGCCTTGTTCAATGGCTTGGCATTCTCTCATGTGTCTTAGAGCGAGGCTCTAGCGATACCGTGTGAAGGGCTCTGACTGCTGCCACCCTAGGCTGACCACGCCAGTCCTGTGCTGTCACACTATACCTTGACACCTGCTAAGACTGTGACCGTGGTTGATAAGGCCCACACATTAGCGGCTACACGCCGTAACTCCCATCATTCCTCAGCCCTGCTCTTGCCCGGCAGCTACCACTCCCTGTGCCT